AGAGTGCTGCATTCACCATTTGAGAATCATTGATGTAGGGAATACCAAAGCAATTACAACAATTGGATTTTATTATATTTATTTATTTTTAAAAGAAAAAATACTTACCTCTTCATCTTCACCATCAACAAAAGTTTCATCTGGTTCTCTGGTATTTTCAATTGTCCTTGGTTCTTGTTTTGGAGGTGCCTTTAGAAGTTAAAAAACATTTATTTTTAAAAGTTAGAACTATTTTCAATAATAATAAATAATAATAATAATTCTTTCTCGGGTAAGCAGATTACAAAGTTCTGTGCATCCACACAAACACAATTATGAGTAAATCATCTATTAGACATTGCATACATTTATTCCAATGACAATCAAATGTAGTTTGACATAGACAAAAGCAAAACATTCACACAAAAAACAAATTTTGAAGAATAATGATTATATACTGTATTTGAAAATGAACACATCAGTGAATCTGTGAATGATGTCAAAGTCTACAAATACTTAGGATTTTACACAAACAACATTAACAAAACATAATTAACACCATCCTAGATTGGCCATTTGTTATCTTAATTGCTTAGCCATCCAACCATCTTAAATCTATGATGGCTGGATGGCCAAGCAATTAAGATAAAACAACATGGGATCAAATCCTAATGGGTTGAAAAACCACAGTAATTTTTTGGGAGGTGGTCCATCCAGATATGCCAGGACCCATCCCTCACCACCCAGCTGCTTGGTAAATACTATAAACACACCACAAGTTTATCGTTGACTTCATTATTATTATTATTTTGAAGCCTTATTTTGAGATAGGCCTTTATTTTTGCTAATAATAAAAAGCTCTCTGCTGATTTAATGAGATACACCTTTCAGAATTAAGACATAACTACAACTTAAAATAAATAAAATTTGGTTCAAAGTAACTAAATCAACTAATTGCTTTTAAAATAAAATGCTTTATGTGCAATAAAAACAAAATGAAGAGAGACATTATTGTACTAAAGAGTTTTTAATGACAAACATAAAATCAACAATAAACACAAAAATATGACTAAATTGACACGAGGATAAACTATTTAAGAAGAAAACACGAGGTACAAAAGTGAGTTAAAAAAATACTTTGGAAAAACAAAAATTCAATTCAAAAATTTTGTTTAAACCCATTAATATATGTCAGAAACTGAAAGATGCTAAATGGTAAAGTAGGCTACCTGCTTACTGGTATATCACTTAAAGTGCAATAATACAGTATATTTCTTGAATAAAGATGAAAACAAAAATAAAAATGAACAAAGCTTTTTTTTGACAAGAGAAGAAACTAAACTGTATGTAACAACATTTTCCCTTTTTTTCCTTTTACTCTACCAAATGAGGCAAAGGTTTATAAAACTGGACGTGTTCAGGCAAATTTATTATTGGTATTGGTCCAGAGCAAAGAGCAATTAGATCATTGTACTTTTCCAATAACAATGGATGAGATAAGTTATTTAAGTCATTAAGTTGTTTTGTCAACAGTGTGTATTTTGCCGTTTTAAAGTCAACGATCAATACTTGTGATCAACGTGGCTTGTTTTAAAAAATATTTTACATAATTCATTCTGCCTTATATTGAATTCAACAATGTCTGTCATTTAAAAGTTTTTCCCTCATCGTCAATTCAAATAGAATGTACTATAAGGTTCTCACTAAACTTTATAGTTTAAAAAATCATTATAACCTAAAGAGTGCACTATACAAGACATTCCCTTTCTTGCAAGACAAAAGACTGGTATAAGCTGAGAAGGCACAAACAATTCGCCAGCCTTTTTAATCACATATGAAATCTCACTGTGAGCGGAGTCTCCTTTACATTGTCCATGATTAGTGGTAAAGAAAGAAGACTCACTTCATCTAAGTGTTTCAAACTGCAAAACAATGTCCTGACACAATGGAATTCTAATTTTGTCCACCACAACCATCGGCAAATAAATTGGCAGTGCGGACCTTCCTTAATATAAGTATTAATTTTTCAATAAGACAAAATATATTAAATGTGGTGGTCATATGACTGAAAAATATGGCTGCATAGTGTTTTACCTCAAAACATTTTCCTCTGGTCGAGTCTCATTTCACTGAATTGGAGTAGGCAGAAAGAGAATTTCACATAATCTCCAGGTAACTTTGCAACAAAGAGGCATAAGTCTAGATATGTCTTTAAAATCATTTAAAAACACCGTGTTTATGGAATTGCTTGAGAAATGTCCCTAAGTTATAATATCAGATATTTGAGAAACACCCAGTGTTTATCATTTCATAGAATGCAAATGGTGTTACATAGAGATATTCCGCTCCATCACAACACGAAGAACCTAGGCTTATATTTAAAGGCATATTTAACTCATTTTAGCCAAATTTTGAGATACACCTTTATGTATTTTCACTGACAATATATCATATATATGTATCTGTACCAAACATCCACTGAAAAAAAAATTATATATGTATCTGTATTTTAAAGTCAACGATCAATAGTTGTGATCAACGTGTGATGAAAATTATATATGTATCTGTACCAAAAATACACTGAAAAAAAATTAGTAAATACTCAGAACTCACCCACAAAATAACACATCTGTGGACAATGATAAAGTACTTATCCATTCTTCTATCTTAATATAAAATTAATAGATCTATCTTGTATAGGCATCACGTCAAATACACTACAAAAAAGTCTAGAAACATTAGGACTGCACAACAACACATTACAAAAAACAGCTGTACTAAACACATCACGTAGGCAGAAATTATTAAATACAGATAAGATACATAAAATACATTTTAAAGGTGTATATTTTGCAAGAAATTATGAACCTATGACATATACAAGTTTGCAAACTGTAATTCATAAACAATTTTCTATAAATTACGAATAGATACAATTTTTTTAAATGAAATTTCATATTGGAATTTGTATTAATTGATACAACCATTGTTTGCATATACAAATATAAAAGGATTTAGACAAATTTATTAAACCATGCATATAAAATTCAATTAACTATTCAATTATTGATTACAATTTAGTTTTTTCTTAAAAGAATGACTTTGCTTTAATATTTTTATGCTAAATATGTAATTTTTAAATTACATTATCATGTTGAGTTTAGTGGGTAATACTCGGTTTAAACCGGTGGCTGTGTACTATGCCGGACCAGAGTCAAGGCATAGCAACCAAAACAAAACTNACGTGCCTCGATTTTTAATTAGTGTAAAAATTCCAATTGTTTGAAAAATCTGAAGAAATTACTACTACTACCTGACTAATTTTCTTTAATTTTACTATGTGCAATTCAGTTTTTGCTTAAAGCATTTCATTATTTTTATTTAATAACTGGTGTCAAATTGACACTATGACATGATGATCTTGGATTTAAATTTTCAAATTTCCCGCCAGTTGCTGTTACTAAAAATAGCCGCAGCGACAGTGCGTGCGCATGCTTCTCCACTTATAATTGCATTATTTTACAGCAAATAACTTCTAAAAAACTCAAATTTGACCCAAAAATAATTTAATTTTTTCCATTGGTATTTTTTAATCATTTTATAAAGTTTTATGACACCATGCCCCATATAATTTTTGTATTTTTTTAATTTTATGAATATAAAAAAGCAAGCAACTGTAATATGTACTGTATATCTGTGCAGATAAGACGATAGTTGAATCATAAAAAATGCCCCCCAAAATCCAGGGTCATCTTATAGAACAGATACAAAAAAAATTAGATTGAAATTTAATTAAATTAAAACCATTATAAAATAAAACAAATCACTCACTAATGTATTTAAATAACCCATACGACATTTTTGTGAATAGTCAAGATCATTACCCGAATGCCCAAATCAGTGCGAATGTTTGCAATAATCACAAGGGAGTACTGTCAGATGCAAGAAAATAGAATTTGGTCATTCGAAAAATTATGAATAGGACGTAATTCCGTATACGCTATGCAGTATTATTATGTAGATGATGATTGCTGATCTAAACTAAATTCATAGGCCGTTGATAGTTTGGGTTCATCTTATAGGACAGATATATGCTAAAACTATAAAACTGACAAAAATTTATACCTTGTCTTATCTGCATAGATATATGGTAAATTAAAAAATTTTTGTTTATTAACAGCATCTAGGCACATTTGTATCCAGCAGATACATGTCGGTTTTTTTATTGAAATTCTTAAAAATAAAACAGTTGAAGTACAGGCTTTTTAGTATTTCTCACCTGATATGTTCTGAAGAGATTCCTACAGTAGTTTTCAAGTTTATGACCGTTTTTTTAGAGAAATTTTATGAAAAACAATACCTTTTCACCGCCTGCAGTAAATTCTCTCACAGCGTGTGTGCTGTACTCTTGCGATTATTATGAGCAACAATCGCAAGAGTAATTTAATAAAATAACTATGTAGAATATTTAACCTTTACCACAAAGCTATACATTATATCTTTTCTCCTGGTTTCAATGGCAGGACCAATCCCAATACATTTCAAATAAATCATTGCAGCTTTTTTTGACAACACAATTTCCTTGCTTCGGTGTTATTGCCCTGCTGTCTCACAATCAGTTGTATGATAAGAAATCTAATACTTTCAATCTTGCAACAATTAAAATTTATCTTCATAACGTAACAATACCATTTAGTAATTGTGACCCAAACATTTATTTGGTAATTTTATAAATATATTTTTTTAAATTATTAAATATAAAATTATAGAATTCATTACTGGCAATTCTAGTTGTCAAATTTGAAACAAAACATTCCCTTGAGTGCAAGAAAACAATTTGTTAGTTATTTAACCACTACTGACAGAGAAGGGTGTTTTTGAAAACAAAGTAATAAAAAAATTAGCAGTTTATTTATTGTACTTCACAGTGGGGACCAGCAGAGTCTATTACTTTCCCCAGAGAAAATAAATAAAGCTTTACTACTCTGAATTTGAAAAATAATACAATCCTGTGAAATTTAACAAATCTGATGCCAATAAGATAAAGTTGAAATTATTTATAGTGAGTTGATATTTGATAAGTTTAGTTCTTTGCATTTACAGATCAAATTACAGAAAATATAAATAAAAATCTGTTTTTTAAACCCACAAGTATTTATACTTTTAGATAGTAGAGAAAATGTATAAATTGAAAATATAATCATAGTCGA